AGGACAGTCACACTGTCACCAAAATCACACTGGTGTTTGCTGTTCCCCTCTAGTTTATGCTCACCAAAGCATTTTACTCTGGGCCCAGCAAGTGAAAAACTAAAGAGGGGCTTCCATATCCGGCAGACCAGGTGTTGTAGCTGCCGGATTTGGAAGCCCCCCTATAATTTTGTCCAGGATGGTCATAGACTCACCAAAATCACACTGGTGTTTGCTGTTCCCCTCTAGTTTATGCTCACCAAAGCATTTCACTCTGGGCCCAGCAGGTGAAAAACTAAAGAAGGGCTTCCAAATCCGGCAGCTACAACACCTGGTCTGCCGGATTTGGAAGCCCCTCTTTAGTTTTTCACCTGCTGGGCCCAGAGTAAAATGCTTTGGTGAGCATAAACTAGAGGGGAACAGCAAACACCAATGTGATTTTGGTGAAGTTGTGACTGTCCTGGGCAAAGTTGTAGGGGGGGTGCGATATCTGGCAGCACCTTCTCTGCCGGATTTGGAAGCCCCTCTTTAGTTTTTTACCTGCTGGGCCCAGAGTAAAATGCTTTTGCGAGCACAAACTAGAGGGGAACAGCAAACACCAGTGTGATTTTGGTGAGTCTATGACCATCCTGGACAAAGATATAGGGGGGCTTCCAAATCCGGCAGCTACAACACCTGGTCTGCCGGATTTGGAAGCCCCTCTTTAGTTTTTCACCTGCTGGGCCCAGAGTAAAATGCTTTTGCGAGCACAAACTAGAGAGGAACAGCAAACACCAGTGTGATTTTGGTGAGTCTATGACCATCCTGGACAAAGATATAGGGGGGCTTCCAAATCCGGCAGCTACAACACCTGGTCTGCCGGATTTGGAAGCCCCTCTTTAGTTTTTCACCTGCTGGGCCCAGAGTAAAATGCTTTGGTGAGCATAAACTAGAGGGGAACAGCAAACACCAATGTGATTTTGGTGAAGTTGTGACTGTCCTGGACAAAGTTGTAGGGGGGGGTGCGATATCTGGCAGCACCTTCTCTGCCGGATTTGGAAGCCCCTCTTTAGTTTTTTACCTGCTGGGCCCAGAGTAAAATGCTTTTGCGAGCACAAACTAGAGGGGAACAGCAAACACCAGTGTGATTTTGGTGACAGTGTGACTATCCTGGACAAAGTTGTAGGGGGGGTGCCATATCTGGCAGGAGAAATACCTGCTCTGCTGAACATGTTATGTAGAGAACAGTGCAGATCTTCCCTATTGACACCAGGAAAAACCTAGTCTAAAATAAGGAACATTAATAGTGTGATATAGGCACTAATCAATAATGAACTTTATTTTAGGGCACCTTTCAAAACATTCAATGTCACCTTAAAATAAAATAAAAAATAAAATATGAGTGGCATTACAATACAAAAATGTGTTGAGTAGGAAACCACAGAGGAAAATTACATTCAAAGGAGCAATTAAAGCGAGTGGAGCTAGTTTGAACAAATTATCTTTTAAGCTTGATTGAAAATAACACAGTGTCTTACATTATCATATATGTTATATCATTACTGTTATATCATTGCTTACTATTCGTGGTTATCAAGTATCAGACACTTAAACAACAGCGAAGGTTTTAAGAAATAGGACTATACTGACAAATGACATCTTATCCTTTCATTGCCTTTCCTTAAAACGAGCAACCTTGCAATTGTATGCACATTATTTATTCAGCCGTTTGCTGTTTAATCTGATGTGAAATATATCATTCAAAAGAGAAAAAAGCTTTGAAAACTCGGCGAAACTCAATACAGGCGATGACGTCACCTGTGCGCGTCCCCCCCCCCAAAAACAACTGTTAGTGTGTTTATGCACCAGGCTGCAAAAGATAAACATGCAATTTGACGAGAGGAATTTCAGTGCAGAATACATTTTTATTTATTGGGCACTGTGGATTCTTCACTGGGGTGAGGCGGGGTCTGCTGTTCCCTCAACCACCAGACAACAGCTCCAGCTGCAGTACCCCGGGAAGCCCCCTTCTGAGTAAAAACCCTGTAATGTTCCTCGCCGTCCACTTCCCCGGTAGCCTGTGCCAACGTCCTTATACAGGTTGTCGCACTGAAAGCACCTGGAAATTTGGTAGGCCTTCCTGAATTCCTGTTTGTGTCCCTCTGAGAAGACATTCCAGTTGACGACACCTGAAGTAGAATGTCATAAGAAAATTACAATTCAGACAGAAAAACAACAAAACCTTCCTTAATTTAGCTGACCTTACTCTTAGTCAATCAACTTCATAATACTAGGATAGGAGAAGGCAGAAGTAAAGACACTTAAATTAAAATTATAAACACATAAATTAGGCCTAATTGTTAGATTCTGACACGACAGATTCTAACCTACAGAATAGGCCGACATAATAACTGACTAAAACACCTCATGCAATATTACAAAACATGTCAAAATGATGAGTCTGATAAACAGTAAACAGGCAGTCAGCACAGTTAAGATTATTTACAATGAATTCAAATAGTAATACAATGACTATTAAAGAAGCATTTACACTGAAGACAGAACTTATATTAGGCTACTGCTGATTTAATGTAGCGGACAGACAGATCATATTGACATGCTTTTGTCATCCTTTGAAGATTAATTAATTAGCTGACTATAATTAATGATCAGGGTTGGGAAGTTTACTTTTTTTAAATGTAGGTTACAGATGACTAATTACCCTGTTAAAAATGTAATACGTAATGTAACTGACTATGTAACTATTTGTATTGATAATCTAATGTTAATTATGGTTCTTTTATGTTTTTTGTGAGTCACTTTGGATAAAAGCCTCTGCTAAATAACATAACCATAACATACGGTTTCATTAAACAAATAAACAAAAAGGCTAACAGTTGGTTTTGCAGCGAGTCATCATAGGCTAACAGATGACATTTAGCACGTGTTGCTTGTATTGCTGTCCAATTGAATACACCAGAATAGTTGTTAACTTTAAACAAACAACATGATTCACATTACTCACACTGTTACTGTAATTAGTGATTAAATCAACAATTAATGTAGGACACCTAGTTGGGCTTGCCAAAATCACGCTACAGTTTCATTAAACAAATAATCAAATATGCTAATGAAGCTAATGCTATTAGCATTAGCTTTTGCCGAAAGCTATAGCTAACAAATAATTGTTTTTAGTGCCTTTAATACTGTTAGAAGCTATCATAAGCTAACAGATGTTTGTTTGTATTGCCTTAAGACTATCATAGTTAATGTTAGCTAATCACACTTCATTTCAAGACACCGGAATTGTTATTAATGTTAAACAAATAAAACTTTAAAAGCACTTCACACTACTCACACTCTCTGCGTTGTCGTTCATATTCATGTCTCCTGCTCACTAGGTGGCGATGTTGCAAAACAACTAGGGTCCTGAGAGTGCGGTCCTGAGAGTGCGGTCCTGAGAGTGCAGCCTCCGAGGCTGCAGCTTCATACTACTCGATATAAAGGGATTAGCGGGAGCTATGATAGGCTTGTGGGAATGGGGAGAGGAGAGATTGGTTAGCTGGGGAGTGACGCCCCCGATCACTTAATGAGTAAGGAGAGTGTAATGTGGTGACGTGTAATCTGAATGAAGAGCTTGGTCTTCCTGATTGAACTTGCGCTGAGCTTCATTTCAATCAGGAGAGACGTTGATGTATGGAATACATATTTATTACCGGGACACATAAATGAATGAATAATGATGCCACAATTATAATAGGAGAATGAAATGGTGTTTGGCGATTAGGCCCCAGTTTGCAGGATAATCATTCAGGAGGGGGACGAACCGCTCCGATGAAACCCCAAAAGAAGTGAAGTATAATATACTGAGATGAAGTGAGTTTCTTACCTTGTGGGCTGACTGCAGTGATCTATGGAGGAAATGAGAGATTAGCACAAGATCGCACAATTTGCCGGAATCAACTGCCGGGCTGACGGGTCCACCCGTGGATGCTAACTGCCGAAATCAGTACCGGGCTTAGATGAAAACGACCCGACGGTCGCCTGCCTGGCTACGCAGGGCTTGACTACGCCGACACGATGGTCGGACGGCCTGACGATGCAGGGATCTTTATTACGTGGACACAGAGGTCTATACGGACCGAAGTCTGGCCTGACGTCGCAGGATAAACATATAACACAGACCCGAAGGTCGACAGCCTGACGTCGCAGGATAGACATACAACACAGACCCGAAGGTCGACAGCCTGACGTCGCAGGATAAACATACAACACAGACCCGAAGGTCGACAGCCTGACGTCGCAGGATAGACATACAACACAGACCCGAAGGTCGACAGCCTGACGTCGCAGGATAGACATACAACACAGACCCGAAGGTTGACAGCCTGACGTCGCAGGATAGACATACAACACAGACCCGAAGGTCGACAGCCTGACGTCGCAGGATAGACATACAACACAGACCCGAAGGTCGACGGCCTGACGTCGCAGGGTAAACATAAACACGGACCAAGTCGGGTGCCTGCAGTGCAGGGGAATGTAGGCCCGTGACATGAAATACTAACGTGATGAGACATAATTCCCCGGGGCACGAGCCGCGGACTAGGGCAGAAAGCGATTAAAATCCAATGTACGACATATACATGCAAATGTGCTATAAACCACCACCAGTTATATACATAAATACCAGAGTTAGGGTCTTGAGAGATCTTTGGGTAGACAGCACGTACTGATGTCCAGGCGAATGTAGGATGGGAAGGCAGAAGAGGACCACCGTCCGAGTTGTTGCAGGGATGAAGGAGAAAGGCCTTGATTAGCAGCAGAGGTGGCCCAGTGGCGACTGGTCATTAGGGGCAGGTGGGGCACGGCCCCACCTAGTGTCAGCAGAAAGTATTACAAATAATGATACACCGAATGAAAAAATAAATAAATATATAAGATATGTTTAAGATCATATCGTAGTGTTTAAGGGTGGAAGCGGCTAAGCCCTCCTCATAAAGAATCTGCGGACTCGAGGTGCCTGGCTAAGGGGCTCTTATTTAAAAGAGAGAGAGGAGATGAAGGGGAGGGATCCCGACGGGTTGCGAGCTGGCTTCTGGGCAGAGGTTCCGGAATGTCTGGAAACGAAAGCGAGAGAGGGAGTCAGCAACTGCATTGAGGTGACCAGGGACATGACGAGCTGAGATGAGGAAGTTGTGGGTGATAGAGGACCACGTGATGCTTCTCATAAACGGCATGATGTCGCGGCACGGGGAACGCCCTTTATTAATAATCCCGACCACTGATTGGTTGTCGCACAGCACCGAGATGCGTTTCCGGAACCAGAGGTGGCCCCACACGTGGCAGGCGACAGCGATCGGGAAGATCTCATGCAGTGCAGAGGATGAGGCGTGATTGAGGAATGAGGGAGGCCATGAACCTGCAAACAACTCTCCCTGAAAGAAACCCCCAAAACCAACAGATGGGGCAGCATCCGTGAAAAACCTCATTGAGTCGGAGGAAAACACGAGGTCGTCGTGGAAGAAAGTGATGCCATTCCAATGGGCAAGCAGGAGAGACCAAAAACGTAGGTCCGAGCGGCAGCCTTCGTCTAGGAAAACACGATCGTGGAGGTTGTTTACAGCCGACGCTGCGTCCAGGAGGCGGGAGATGAATGAGCGCCCCTGAGGGATGACGTGCATTGCGAAGTTAAGGTGTCCGAGGAGGGAGAGCAACTGTTGTTTTGTGATGATTTGTTGATCGCAATATGACTTGGTAATGTCACGTATGCGCTGCAGTTTGTCGGCGGGGAGAGACGCTTTCATGTCTATGGAGTCGAGGATGACGCCTAAAAACTCCAAGCGTGTGTCGGGACCTAGAGTTTTCTCTTTGGAGAGAGGGACGCCTAACTCCTCAAAGCAATGTTTAAGCTTAGCCAGTGAGGCCCCTGAGTTGTCCCGTGGGGGATCTATGAGGAGGAAATCGTCCAGGAGATGAAGGACGGAGGGAATCCTGACAATATTCAGCAGGATCCAGCAAAGCGCTTCGGAAAAGGAATTAAAAATGCAGGGGCAACTTCTGCACCCGAAGGTCAGGCGAACAGCGAAATAGAGTTTTGACTCCCACCTGATGCCGAACATGTTCCACTGAGACGGATGGATGGGGATGATTTTAAAAGCATCGGTGATGTCTGCTTTGGAGAGCCAGGCTCCTTGCCCTGCGAACTTGATTAACTTAATAGCATTATCAACCGAGGCATAGTAAAGAGAAAACTGATCTGGAGGAATGAGACTATTGATGCTGCAGAACGGTCCGGAGCGGGGTGCGGACAGATCGAAAATCAGCCTTTTTTTTTTCGGAGTATTTGCGTGTGGCTACTCCGATTGGATTTGACCGGAACACTGAGAAGGGGGATGAGTTAAAAGGACCGATTAAGTATCCTTTGTTAAGTTCTTTCTCGATGAGCTGGGAAACTATAATGGGTTCTTTGGCGGCTGACTGCAGGTTTTTTGCGACGAAAGTCACGGTGGGAGGGGAGAGGACCCCTACCCTGAAGCCTTGGGAGAGCCCTGACAGAAGATAATCTACGAACACAGGATCTGGGTGAGTTGATAAGGCAGCTGCTAAATGAGGGATGTTAATGGGAGTAGAGGGGTGATGTTTCAGAATATTTTGCCACCACGTGGTTTCTGGTATGAGGCAGTTGTAAATCCGCGGCTGCGCCTGGGGCAGACGGACTTTGGGTGGGCATCCTTGCAGAAACTGCAAATTCAGATTCAGATTCAGATTCAACTTTATTGTCATTACGTAGTACATGTACTAGTGACGAAATGTGAGTTTAGGCATCTGACCAGAAGTGCAAAATAGCAGTGCATTAGTCTACATAGTAAGAATAATTGTACATGGAATTATTAAAAATAGAATAATTATAAATAGGCTATAAACAGATTAATCTATACCGTGTAAACGGCATTGACAGTCAAATATAAACGGCATTGACAGTAAAATATATAAACAGGTGGGTGGTGGGTATGGGCTAGAGTCTATCAGCGGGCAGAGTTCAACAGGGTAACAGCCCTGGGGAAGAAGCTGTCCCTGAACCTGCTGGTCTTGGACTGGAGGCTCCTGAGGCGCCTCCCCGAGGGTAGGAGGACAAACAGATGGTTTGCAGGATGAGAGGTGTCCTTCAAGATGTTGTGCGCCCTCTGCAAACACCGTATCCCCTGGATGTCCTCGATGGCAGGGAGTGTGACACCGATGATGCGTTGGGCGATTTTCGTCACCCTCTGCAGTGCCTTCCTGTTGAGCATTGTGCAGTTCCCATACCAGGCTGTGATACAGCTGGTCAGGATGCTCTCAATGGTGCAGCGGTAAAAGTTCACCAGAATCTGAGGAGAGAGGTGATCTTTCTTTAGTCTCCTCAGGAAGAAGAGACGCTGGTGGGCCTTCTTTACTATACTGGTGGTATTGTTGGACCATGAGAGGTTATCAGATATGTGGACCCCCAGGAACTTGAAGCTAGACACACGCTCCACCGCCGTTCCATTTATGTGGATGGGAGTGTGTGTGTTGCCTTTCATTTTCCTGAAGTCCACAATTAGTTCTTTTGTTTTTGTTGTGTTGAGGGCCAGGTTATTGTCAGCACACCACTCAGTCAGATGCTGAACCTCCTCCCTGTAGGCCGTCTCATCGTTGTTGTGGATGAGGCTGATCACCGTTGTGTCGTCTGCATACTTGATGATGGTGTTGGAACCATGTACAGGGGTACAGTCGTGGGTGAAGATGGAGTAGAGGAGGGGGCTCAGCACGCAGCCTTGTGGGACACCGGTATTTAGGCTGAGGGTCATGGAAGAGAGACGATCTAACCTGACATGTTGGGGTCTGTTGGTTAGAAAGTCTAAAATCCAATTACAAAGGGGAGCGTCGATGCCCAGGTCGTTGAGTTTTGTGATTAGTTTGGAGGGGATGACGGTGTTGAAGGCTGAACTGAAGTCGATGAACAGCAGTCTTGCGTAGGAGTTGGTTTTTTCCAGATGTGAGAAGACGGTGTGAAGTGTTATGGAAACAGCATCTTCCGTGCTCCTATTAATCCGGTATGCAAATTGATGGGGGTCCAGTGTCGGTGATAGGCGGGATTTAAGCTGTGCTAGGACCAACTTCTCGAAGCACTTCATGAGAATGGGTGTAAGTGCAACGGGACGGAAGTCATTCAGGCCTGCTGCAGCAGAGTGTTTGGGCACTGGCACTATGGTAATAGTAGAAAATAGATCTCCCATATTTTAGGTGAAGATCGCCGATAATGGCCATGTAAGCGTCTAATTCTACTCTTCTCTCAGGGTAAACGGAGCAGAGAACATCGCGAAAGATGCCGAAAGCAACCAGGAATTGCCCTATGCTGAGGTCTTTGAGGAGCCGGGGGTCTGCAGCCTTAAAGACGGCAGTGATGTTTCCTCCCGTGGCAATTGCTTTATCGCACTCCGGGGAAGGCAGAATGAGGCTGACGAGATTAATGTCCTTCCCTTCGAGAATTTTAGCTCTGAGCCGTGAGGAAATATTAGCGGCTTGGGAGATGAAAGGCCTGCCTGAAGGAGGAGCTGGGAGGGCAGAAGCCAGGGAATGAGGGGGAGCTACTTGAAGATGAGGAGCAACCTGACCCGGCATAAAACCCGGCGACACGGGGGCAGGAAGCGCTGCCCATGCAGCTGAAGTTGAAGCTCCAGCAGAGGTAATAATAATAATAATATAATAATATGTTAATTAAGACTTAAGAATAATATGTTAATAATATAATAATAATAATAATAATAATAATAATAATAATAATAATAATAATAATAATAATAATAATATGTTAATAATATAATAATATAATAATAATAATATTCATGGGTACCACGTGACGTCACTGTATTCTAGCGCCGCCATTTTGGTGTCCGGTCACAGCAAGTCATTACAACAACAGAGAACACGGAGGAAGCAGCAGACGAAGATACATCGTGAATAATAAAGTTTGTGGATATGCCTGGGATTTGTTGTGCGGTGGGCTGTGACAATAGTCGCCAGAGGAACCCCGGACTACAGTTTGTATCGATCCCCAAAGACGTAGACCGTCGTAATAAATGGCTGGCTGCCATCAGAAGGGACCACTGGCAGCCGACATCTAACTCCAGATTGTGCAGTCAACACTTTGTTTCCGGTAAGCTCTTCACTTATTGTTATATTTTTGTCAGAAATACGTTTTCAAAATACTTCAACATAGATAATTCAGTTGCCGAATAATAATTACCGTTAGCAGTGTAATGGTAACATAGCATGAGTAAAATATTCCCAGTTTTGAAAGGACTGCATTAGTTTTGCTCTGTGTTCCTTTACGCTTGAAACCGACTGAATTTGAATAAAAGACACATTTCTGGCAGAACATTGAGAAAGAAATTGCCGTTCTCAATATTATTGAATGCATGCCTTAAATTACTTGTGTATGTATATTACATGTATTATTGCTACTTTTACTTCAGTTAAGGATCGTAATACTTCTTGTCATTATCTTATTAGGAGGCCTATACACACATTAATATTCTACCATGTTTGCCTCTGTCTGCTTAGGAAGAAAACATGACAACCCCATGAGCCCTGACTACATCCCCAGCCTGTTTGCGCACACGTCAGCTGGACAGCGGCAGAGAAGCATCTATGCCACCAGCAGATTTGAGCATACTCAGCAGATGAAAAGGAAACGGACTGAGACTTTGGTTCCTGATAGAGACCATGAGACTGTGGCACCTCCCAGCACCAGTGATGCCACTGGGCTTGACATCACCTTAGTTGAACAGGTAGAATGTGTGAAAGATGACCACAGTTACTCTCAAGCCATTCTTAGCTCAGGTATTGTGGAACCATGCTCAAATGCAGCCTGCCAAGCTACAGTCAAGGCATTGACAAACGAGTGTGCACGATTAAGAGCTGAGGTTAATTGTCTTAAGGACAAAGTTAATGTGCTGTCTTTCAATGAAGAAGCCTTCAAAGGAAATGATGAGATGGTACAGGAACTAACAGGCCTACCAAGCTATGCTAAAATGATGGTTGTTTTTGGTTTCCTGTCTGGGTTTGTGAAAGCCGGTCCAAGACTGACTCCCTTTCATAGCTTTTTATTAACACTGATGAGAATGAGGCTTAACTTACCTTTATATTTTTTTGTTTATCTTTTTCATATGTCTAAGAGCAGTGTTGTCAGAATGTTCAACAATACTTTAGATGTCATGTATGTCAGACTGTCACCACTTATATTTTGGCCCTCAAAAGATCAAATTCAGGTTAGTCTGCCCATGTGTTTCAGGGATAATTTTAGCAACTGCACTTCCATCATTGACTGTTTTGAAATTTTTGTAGAGAAGCCAAAGAATTTAAGGGCACGTGCACAAACATACTCCTATTACAAGCACCACAACACTGTAAAATATCTAATTTCTATAACACCACAGGGTGTTACATCCTTTGTGTCAAAGGGCTGGGGGGGACGCACAAGCGACAAGTACATTACAGAAAACTGCTCATATCTTGAGAAATTATCACCAGGAGATGTTGTTCTTGCTGATAGAGGCTTCAATGTGAAAGACACTGTGGGACTGTATAATGCACAGTTGAAAATACCAGCATTCACCAAAGGCAAGCAGCAACTGCATCCACTGGAACTTGAATCCACAAGGGGACTCGCTGCCGTCAGGATCCATGTGGAAAGAGTCATTGGCCTGGTCAGGAACAAATACACCATCCTTCAGAGCACCATCCCGCTGTCTCTTTGCCAAGCAGCCACTCAAGGACAACCTACTTCCCTTGACAAGATGGTAACAGTTTGCTGTGCTCTTTGTAATGTCTGCCCATCTGTGGTACCCACAGAATAGATAGATACTATTTGTAAGTCGCTTTTGATAAAAGCGTTAGCTAAATGAAACAAAATGCTTATTGTGTATTCCCTTTTCTATGTATGTTGGATCTTCTCTCTATTATTTTTACAATTAATACATTAAAATGTCCAGTTTTGAACTAATAAACGTCACTTTATCCAAGTATTTGTTCTTTGAGGTTTTTTAAATACTCCTACTTATACTACAATGCATCTGCAAGTATTAGATACAGTTATTTATTGCACAATCTACAGTGAATGAATATGTAAGGTTAATGGGTACACAAAAACCTGACCATGAAGACAAAAGAAAAAGACCAGTGTCTGACAAGAAGAGCTTATTTATTGTCAGCTTCTTAATGTCCCCCAGATGTTTTGTCAGAGGTTGCAGTGGGGGAGAAGCGTGGCACAGTAAACCATTTACCCAACAACTCTGGTAGTATCCCCGTTCTGATGAAGTTTACCACCTTTGAATGGGCAACATCAAAAAATGCGCCATCAAACATGATGCGCTGTTTAAAAGGTTCTTGAGGTGTCCACACAACAAAATCACAGAACATTACCTCTGCGACACGCATTTGTGCCTGCACTTGATACATATAGCTGTGATCCAGCTTTAGGCTCATCACACCTCCCTCAGGGACAGTCAGGCAGAACCGCGAGTCTTTGGTGCATTCAAGTAGACTGCGGTCTTTAGCGCTGAAAGGACACTTAATTTCTAAAATGCCAGGCTCATGGCAAGCACAGGTCACGATACCATCTGGGGATGCACCAATCCATGGCAGCTCTGGGTTAAGGATGAGCCCTGATGCTGCAACATTAATGTCTTCATGGTGATCTTGCATAGCCACCAGGTAAGACTTTTTGGCAGTGTCCTCGTTTTGTAAACCCCATCTGAGGAAAA